TCTTGGTGATTTTCTTTTGGGGTCTATCCTGTTTGGGGTTCATTGGACTTCCTGAATGGATATATTCTCATCTTTCATCATAGCAGGGAAATTCTCTTCCAACAAATCTTGGACAATTTTCTCAGTGGTTTTGTTTTTCTCTTCCTGTTCTGGAATTCCAATGACACATAGGTTATTCCTTTTGATGGTAACCCACATGAACCTTAGGCTTTCTTCATTTTGTTTTGATCTTTTTTCGGACTGATCCCTTTCCAAAGAAGTATTCAGGTATTTGTCTTCAATCTCATTGATTCTGTCTTCCATTGCATCAATTCTATTCCTTTTCCCTTTCAATATGTTATCTATTTCTGACAATTTAGTGTTAATCTTCCAGATTTCCATCTGTAGATTTAGAATCACTTCTAAATTTTCATTTATTTTGTCATTTTGTTCTTGTATTTTCTTCCAAAATTCTTCTAGGGTTTTGTCTTGTATTTTCCTTGATCTGTGTCTCAATCCTTTGAAGCTACCTAAATATAATTCTTTTGAATTCCTTGTCAGAAAGTTCCAATGCTGCTTCTTCCTCAGGGGTGTGTTCTGGGTCTGTATCCTGCTCCCTTGTTTCTACCCCTTTATCTTGCTTCTTTGTGTGAACTGTGATGCTCTCTTGTCTCCAAGACATTGTGATGTTATTGTCTTTAGATCTGTGTTAACTGTTTGTGAAGAGTAGCTAAGGTGAGTCAGGCTTTTCTTGGTGGTTGTTTATTGTAGGCCCATTGGTGGAAAAGAAGGTGGTGGCTCTCACTCAGTAAGTGAAGCTGCAGGAGGTGTGAGTATAGTTGTGTCGTATGGGGACTGTTGCTGTCTCCCACTCAGTTAGACAAAAATAACAATTGAATAACCATCATAAAAGTAAAATAAAATGGACCAAAAAAAACACCATGTAATTACACAGGAACAGTAACCAAAAAAGGGAAAAGGGAAAAAAAGCAAAAGCATAACAAAACACACCACAATATCTGGGGAGAGGGCAATAAGAGAAGAAAGGTAGAGAAGGAGAATAATGAAGAAAAAATGGGAACAATGCAAAAAGATAAACAAAGAATGGGGTTAACCACAAGGAAGAAAAAAAAAAAAAGAAAATTGGAACCAGGAACAGGGAAAAGAAAAAAAGCTGAAAACTAGAACCTGGGAAGGGAAGAATAAAGAATGATAATAAAAAGGACAGAAATAATAATAATAGTAGTAGTTTTAAAACAGACAAAAACAAACTAAAAAAAAAGGAAAAAAAAAAATCTGGACAGGGTAGGGCAGGGCACCCAGGCTCCATTGGAGCATGCAGACTGGGATGGAATTTCTGGCAGCCTAGAAAGTGGGTGCAAGTGAGGGATGGCCACACCTCTGTCCACCAAGAAGGTGTGAGATAATAAGAGTAACAAGGGAAATGTCGCACCTTTCTGATAGTCCATGAGTCTGGAATGTCTTTGCGGGTCCCAGCAAGTAGAGCCTGTTCTTGGGTCCCTAGAATCTGGGAGAATGCTATCGCTTTAAATATCCAAAATGGTCGAGCCGCTTGTAAACATTCAAAATGGCTGTGCCCTCGGACAGGCAAAAGTCCACAGCTCAGCCTGCCTTCCTCTTCTCTGCTTCCCCTTTTATTCCCCAGCCACCAGAGTGGTCCTCCATGCAGTCCCTGGCTAGCAGGGCCGATTTTTAGGTTAATTCTTAGGTCATACCACCACTTGGCAATATCCAAGCTGTCTGTGCCATCAGGATCACTGCCAGATTACAGCTCCGTATGTCTCCTTTTTGGTATTGTCATACAAATTCTTGTACTAGTTGGAGTTTAGTCCACTTCTATATCCTTTCCTTCAAAGCTCAGGGGTCCAGGATTATCTTGTGTATCTGTGTTAATTGGTTCCCCTTTTCTTTGCTGAAGAGGGTCTGTGCAGTCTTTCTGCCTAATCCACCATCTTACCAGAGCTTCCCTGTGTGTGGTTTTTTTATGGTTCACCAACCACCAGTGTGGCTGCCCATGTGGTCCTCAGTAAGCAAAGCCCATTATCAGGTTGCCGCCCTGAACGGAAATATTCAAATATTGCAAGTATTCAAAATGGCCATGCCATCAGTCCAGTCAATAGTCCACAGTTCCGTTTGTCTCCTTATTTGCTATTTCCATTCCGTTTCTTCTACTAGTCAGTATTTCACTTCTTTATCCTTTCCTTTGAAGCTCAAGATTCCAGGATTATCATCTGTATCTATTTCAATTGGTTTGTCATCTCTGTTGTAGAGGGTCTAGGTAGCTTGTGTGCCTATTCCGCCATCTTGCTGGAAGTCCCTCCCCCAGCCCCCTAACTTGCATTTCAGAAAAGCAGCCTGGCAACAGAAGGGAGAGTGACCCAGAAGAAGACACAGGCTGATAAGAGGGCAAGCAGGTTAGGGTTGGTAATCTCTCCCAGAATGAAGCCGGGCTGTCAGTGGTGTGGTTGGGGCAGAGCCACACTGGATCCCAGGGCCCTGGGGAGCAAAGCAATGGAAAACCTTGCCTGGGGAGGGAGGGAGGGAGAGATGTTGGTCGGAGGGGATCTGTGGTAGGGGAGGGTTTTATTTCTCTGTTAAATTTTTTTGTGAGGGGAGGTATTTTTTTAGAAATCTAATCATGTTCACATGCTAATGATAAGCAGGACTGAATGTGAGTATTGTAAAACAATTTTTTTTTAATTAAATAATACAAATATAGTGAAAGTCTCCCTCATAATCTCATTTACCCCGGGTAATCATTGTTAATAGTTTGGCTTACAGTCTTCTTTGTAAAATGCCCACATTAAAAATATAATAATAATTTTTTTTAAATCTTGTTACTGAGAATATACACAGCAAAACATAACACCAGTTCAGCAGTTTCTCCATGCACAGTTCAGGAACACTGATTCCATTTTTTGAGCTGTGCAACCATTGTCACCCTCCTTTTCGGAGTTGTTCCTCCCACGTTAACATAAACTCACTGCCTGCTAAGGTTCCTATCTTTCAGTTGCTGTTGCCACTTTGATCCCATGTACATAGATCTTAAAAGAACACAATGCTCAAGGAAGACATTTTTTTTTTGTACTGAAGCTAAACTGTTGTTTGGCTTTAAGAAGACTTCCAGGAATATTTTTGGTTTAAGGTTTAAAGATTATCTCAGGGCAATAGTTTTAGGAGTTTTTATTTTGAACACACATGGGGCAGGATACATCATATACTGTCTGGCCATCTAATTTTTTAACTTAATAGACACAGAAATTGTCATCCCAAGAACACTGATAATGTTTAGGTTGTTTCCAACTTTCATTCTCATGAGTAGCACTTTAACAAATATTCTTGTCACGTTATTTTCTTTGGAGGTAAATTCCTTTGCAGGATCAAAGCGGGGAGCTCTGGTGGCGTAGTGCCTAAAGCATTTGACTGGTAACCAGAAGGCTGGCAGTTCAAACTCACCAGCCACTCCTCGGAAGGAAGACTGGGCGATCTACTTCCATAGTGATACCGCCTTAGAAACCCAAGGAGGGGGTTGCTATGAGTTGGAAACAACTTGAGGCAGTGAGTTTGGTTTTGGTTTTGGATCAAAGGGACATTTTTGTTGACTGATGACCCTCCAGAAGGTTCTCAATAATTTCCTTTCTAGCCACAGGGCACAAGGGGGCCTGTGCCTCAGCCTGACTCAAGCACGGCCCCTCCTATTAGATCCTGCAGGCCAGGACTCCTGTCTTTGCCTTCTTTTCTCTTTGCATAGTGCCAAGTTCAAGTTGCTATTGTCACTTTGATCCCATGTTCAAGATCTTAAAAAGGCCAATCTCTAAGAAACAATTTATTTTGCTTCTTCCCCATAGTGACCTTCCTGATGCCAAATCGAGAGCCCTGGACAACATTGGCAGGGTTTTTGCCAAAGTTGGGAAATTCCAGCAAGCCATTGACACGTGAGTGATGAAGGACTGCTCCCTCTCTGCCTTGGGGCAAGGACTTCCACTTCCATAGGGGCCTCCCAGCCTGTGGCCAAAGATGAGCAGGTCACTTTTTAATCTATGGGGCTCATCAGTTCTATTAATTACTAGAATAACATCAGCATTTTCCTCAAGAGTGCCCAGTGATAAGAATCACCTGGAGCACTTGTCAAACACAGGAGTTACCAGGCCTCTCCTCTGGAAGTTCTGATTCTACAGGTCTGGGTTGGAACCAGGACCAGATTACCCAATAAGCAAGGTACACATGGGTCCAATTGTGCCTTCCTGCCAGTCAGCAGTGCTCAGTTTCCCCTGTTCCCCCCACCACGTCCTTGATGCATGAAACCCATGTGAAATTGCTCGCCACAGATTAGCAAGTAAGCACAATTAAGCCCCTGCCTACCTTACTAATGCAAGCTGGTGCATCCCATGCTTAGTCGTTAATCTGCCCCTGGTTGGAGCTCAGGAATCTAACCAGCACTGCAGGTGACTTTTACCATCGGGCAGTTTCAGGAACTGGTGGATCAGTTGGCCTTCTGAGGCTAGTCTGTGACTGTGTGTGGTTATATGGGGACCCTGGGAACTGTGCCTGAGCCCTCCAAATGTCCCAAATGCTAATCTTTTGAAGTCTAACCCTGGGCATCTTAACTGCTAGCATAGGGTGGGCTCAGCCCCAGGGAGACTTTGGGGAAGGGCCTTGACCTGGAGATGCTCCAGCTCTGGGACAGCCAGATCCTAAAGAGATATTGCCTCAGAAACCCAAAGGGGGTCTCTATGAGTTGGAATCAACTCAATGGCAGTGAGGATTTTTTTTTTTTTTTTTAAATATGGCTTCTGGTGTCTAAATGTCAAGAAAGAGACATATAAGAAGGAAGAATATGAAATTATCACCTATTATTGTCTTTTTATAAGGAGCTCTGGTAGCATAGTGCCTAAGATACTTGACTGCTAACCAGAAGGCTGGTGGTTCAAACCCACCAGCCACTCCTCGGAAGGAAGGTTGGGCAATCAACTGCCATAGAGATACTGCCTCCAAAACCCAAGGAGGGGTCGCTATGAGTCTGGTCTGACTCGACGGCATGTAACAACAACAACAACATTGTCTTTTTATAACAATATATATATAATAAATATGTGATCATTATTTAGATACTAATTTGGAAAATATAAGGCCCTCTGGTGGTGTAGTGGATAAGGCATTTGACTGCTAACTGGAAGGTCAGCGGTTCAAACGCACCAGCTGCTCCACAGAAGGAAAACTGGGCAGTCTACTTCCGTAAAGATTTACAGCCTGGGAAACTCAGTGGGAGTCGCTATGAGTTGGAAACCACTAGATGCAGTGAGTTTTTTTTTTTTTTGGGGGGGGGCGGGAATCTAGAAAAGTAGAAGAAAAAAATATTCATAGTGCCACCACTAGGGGGGGCGAACTAACCAGCAAATACAGAATGTATGCACCTGTTTGCACAAAGTTTGCTTTGAACCAGGTACACACGGGGTTGTTTACTCACTAATTTGTGGTGAGCAATTTCACATGGATTTTATTACATCATTGACATGGGCAGGGACAGGTGAAATTGGTGGGAAGGCACAACTGGAACCATGCATACCTTACTTTTGGGTATCTGGCCCACCACCCAAAGATAACTAATTCTAATCCTAATATTACTTTTAAGGAGATATGGTGGCATATTGCCTAGGGCATTTGACTGTTAACCAGAAGGTTGGCAGTTCAAATCCACCAGCTTCTCCGTGGAAGAGAGGGCATTTTACTTCCTGCCTTAGAAGCCCAGTGGGGGTCACTATGAGTTGGAATCAACTTGACGGCAGTGGGTTTTTATTGGAATCTTTCTTTCATTGATATTTTGCTTTCTGTCTTGGTTTTCTCTTAGGTAGATGTGAGCATACTCTACATGCAGGCTTGCATCCAACTTACTTAACAATATTCTTAAACATTGCTTTTATGTTATTTTAAACATCATTTTGTAAACATTTGCAACTGTTGTCTCAAATTTGAGGCCACAGATGTATCAAAATATCTTTGGTAGTTTAAAATATTCTAATGATTATTAACTCCACCCCAGTATCTAAAAGAACTGGTTGTTGTTGTTAGGTGCCATCAAGTCATCTCTGACTCATAGTGACCCTATGCACCGCAGAATAAAAACATGGCCTGGTCCTGTGCCAGCCTCACTATCCTTGCTATACCTGAGCCCATCATTGCAGCCACTGTGTCAATCCATCTCATTGAGGGCCTTCCCCTTTTTCGTTGACCCTCCACCTTACCAAGCATGTTATCCTTCTCCAGGGAATGGTTCCTTCTGACAACATGACCAAAGTAGGTGAGACGAAGTCTAGCCATTCTCGCTTCCAAGGAGCACTCTGGCTGAACTCTTCTTTGGTCTTCCTTATTAATTGTCCAGCTTTCACATGCATAAGCAAAACCAAAACCAAACTCACTGCCATGGAGTCAGATCTGACTCACAGCACAAGAGGCAACTGAAAATACCATGGCTTGGGTTAGGTGCACGTTAGTCTTCAAGGAGACATCTTTGCTCTCCACTTTAAAGAGGTCTTTTGCAGCAGATTTGCCTAATGCAATATGTCTGATGTCTTGACTGCTGCTTCCACTGGTGTTAATTGTAGAACCAAGTAAGTGATATGAAATCCTTGACAACTTCAATCTTTTCTCCATCCATCATGAAACTGTTTATTGGACCAGTTGTGAGGATTTTTGTTTTCTTTATATTGAAATGTAATTCATACTGCAGACTGTAGTCTTTAATCTTCATCAGTAAGTGTTTCAAGTCATCCTCACTTTCAGCAAGCAAAATTGTGTCATCTGTGTATCACAGGTTAATGAGTCTTCCTCCAATCCTGATGCCATGTTCTTCTTCATATAATCCAGCTTCTTGGATTATTTGTTCAACATACAAATTGAGTAAGTATGGTGAAAGGATACAATCCTGACACACTCCCTTCTTGATTTTAAACCATGCAGTATCCCCTTGTTCTGTTAGAATGACAGCCTCTTGATCTATGTACAGGTACCTCATGAGTACAATCAAGTGTTCTGTAATTCCCATTCTTCTCAATATTATCCATAATTTGTTATGATCCACATAGTCAAATGCTTTTGCATAGTCAATAAAACATAAATAAACATCTTTCTGGTATTCTTTGCTTTCAGCTGAGATCCATCTGACATCAGCAATGATATCCCTCATTCCACGCCCTCTTCTGAATCCAGCTTGCATTTCTGGAAGCTCTCTAAATATACTGTTGCAACCATTTTTTAATTATCTTTAGTAAGATTTTACTTGCATGTGATATTATTGATATTGTTTGATAACTTCCACATTTCTGTGGGATCACCTTTCTTTGGAATGGGCACAAATGTGGATCTCCTCCAGTCTGCTGGCCAGGTACCTGTCTTCCAAATCTCTTGGCATAACCGAGTGAGTACCTCCAGTGAGGCATCCATTTGCTGAAACATTGCAATGGGTATTCTGTCAATTCCTGGGGTCTTGTTCTTCGCCAATTGCTTCAGTGCAGCTTCGACTTCTTCCTTCAGTGCCATTGGTTCTTGATTATATGCCGTCCTGAAATAGATGAACATCAACCAATTCTTTTTGGTACAGTGACTGTATTCCTTCTATCTTCTTTTGATGTATCCTGCGTCATCTAATATTTTGCCCACAGAATCTTTCAGTATTGCAACTTGAGGCTTAAGTTTTTTCCTCACTTCTTTCAGCTTGAAAAATGCTGAGGGTGTTCTTCCCTTTTGGTTTTCTAACTCCAGGTCTTTACACATTTCATTATAGTAATTGGCTTTGTCTTCTGGAGCTGCTCTTTGAAATCTTCCATTCAGCTCCTTTATCTTGTCATTTCTTCCATTTGCTTTAGCTACTCTCTGCTCACAGACAAGGTTCAGAGTCTCTTCTGACATCCATTTTGGTCTTTTCTTCCTTTTTTGTCTTTTTTTAATGACCTCTTGCTTTCTTCATGGGTGATGTTCTTGATGTCATCCCAAATTCCTCTGGGTTTTGGTCATTGGTGTTCAATGCATCAAATCTATTCTTTAGATGGTCTCTAAATTCAGGAGGGATATAATCAAGGTCATATTTTGGCTCTCCTGGACTTGTTTTAATTGCCTTCAGCTTGTACTTGAACTTGGATATGAGCAATTGATGGTCTGTTCCAGAGTCAGCTCCTGGCCTTGTTTTGGCTGAAGATATTGAGCATTTCCATTCCCTCTTGCCACAGATGTAGCCAATCTAACCAAAACCAAACTCACTGCCATCGAGTTGATTTTGACTCACAGTGACCCCTCCTTGGGTTTCCAAGGTGGTATCACTACAGAAGTAAATTGCCCAGCCTTCCTTCCAAGGAGTGGCTGGTGGGTTTGAACCACCAGCCTTCTGGTTAGCAGTCAAATGCCTTAGGCACTATGCCACCAGAACTGATTCCTGTGTATTCTATCTGGGGAAGTCCACATGTATAGTTGTCGTTTATGATGCAGTGAATAAGTCGTTGGTCTTGCAAAATTCTACCATGCTATCTCCAGCATTACTTCTATCACCAAATACCAATACCAGTATTTCCAACTACCAGTAACTCTTCTTTGTTTCCAACTTTTGCATTCTAGTCACCAGTGATAATCAACACATCTTGATTGCATGTTTGGTCAATTTCAGACAGCAGAAGTTGGTAAAGATCTTCAATTTCCTCATCTTTGGCTTCAGTGGTTGGTCCATAGATTTGAATGATAGTAGCATTAACTGGTCTTCATTGGAGGCATATGGACATTATCCTATCATTGACAGCATTGTACTTTAGGACAGATCTTGAAACATTCTTTGTGATGATGAATGCCACACCATTCCTCTTCAATTTCTCATTCCTGGCATAGTAGATCATATGGCTGTCTGATTCCAAATGACCAAAAACAGTCCATTTCAGCTCACTAATGCCTAGGATGGGAGCTCTGGTAGCATAGTGGCTAAGGCACTTGACTGGTAACCAGAAGGCTGGCGGTTCAAACCCACCAGCCACTCCTCGGAAGGAAGGTTGGGCAATCCTACTTCCGTAGTGATACTGCCTCAGAAACCCAAGGAGGGGTCGCTATGAGTCAGGGCTGACTCGACGGCACATAACAACAACAACAACGCCTAGGATATCGAACTTTATACATTCCATTTCATTTTTGACAACTTCCAGTTTTCCTAGATTCATACTTCGTACATTCCATGTTCTGATTATTACTGGATGTTTGCATCTGTTTCTACTAATTTTGAGTCGTGGCACATCAGCCAATGGAAGTCCTGAAAGCTTTACTCCATATCATTAAGGTCGTCTCTACCTGAGGAGTCAGCTATTCCCCAGTCGTATTTTGAGTGCCTTCTGATCTGATGGGCTCATCTTCTGGCACTATGTCGGACAATGTTTCAGGGCTTTCATAAAGTTTGTCAGTAATATATTAGACAGTGTTTCACTGCTATTCATAAGGTTTTTACTGTCCAGTTGTTTGAGAAGTAGATAGCCTCTTCCTTCTTCCAGGTCTGTCTTAGCCCAGAAGCTCCACTGAAACCTGTCCACCATGGGTAACCCTGCTGGCATTTTGCAACACCAGTGGCATAGCCTCCAGCCTCCCAGCAACATGTAAGCCACCTCAGGACGACAAACTGACAGACAAGTTTACCTCCCTTAGTTGTTCCTAACTGCTCTGCAAAAGAGCTGGTGGTTGGGGAAAATCTGTTCTGGTGCTCCTCAGTAGGAAGATGTGGTCTCCTTCGGTTGGGTTCAGGCTTTGAGTGGAAGAAGGTGACCCTGGTCCTTCATATCCCCAGGTGGGAGGAGAAGATCCCTCTGGCAAAAACTACCCTGGAGAAGACCTGGCTGTTCCATGAAATTGGCCGCTGCTACCTGGAGTTAGAGCAGGCCTGGGAGGCCCAGTCCTATGGCAAAAAGTCCCAGCAGTGCGCTGAGGAGGAAGGAGATATTGAGTGGCAGCTGAACGCCAGTGTCCTGGTGGCACAGGCACAAGGTATACCTTTCCCAGCCCTCAAGCCTAGACTCCCAGGCTCTTTGCCATAGCCTCCTTCCCCTTCCCTCATGCCAGCTACCATCCCAGGCCTGGGAATCCCATGGGCTGAGCTTACCAACCCCGTGTATCCTCACCCAGATTGATGCTGAGAATTGGGTAAACCCAATTCTGATTTCCACCAGTGTGTGTCCCATACCTACCTTAAGGTCAGACCTTCAGGCACCCCGGAGCTGCCCTTGAGGAGCCCAACTGCAGCGCAGCCCAGCATCATGTCATCATTGTAACCATGCCCCCGTATAGTACAGTTTTACACAAGCATTCCCACGTTCAATCATTATGCAAGACACTGAGGTAGGCATGATTGTCCTCATTTTATAGATGAGGAAAGAGGCAAAGAACATTTCAGCAGGTTGTACCAGGTCACACATTAGGGAACTTTTTGAAACGTTGGACATGTTCTAAGACTGGACTGTGGCCATGGTTGCCCAACTCTATAAATCATTGAACTGTACATTTACAATAGGTGAATTTTATAATATGCAGATTATAAGATTATATAACAATAAAGTTGTAAAAAAAAATAACCAGCAAGAGGTAGAGGGTAGGGAGGTATAGATAAAACAAGGTTGGCAGTATATTGATAATTGGTAAAGCCGATGAGGGGTTATGCTATATATATAATATATATATTTTTATATATGTATATGTATGTATGGGAGCTCTGGTAGTGTAGTGCCTAAGGCACTTGACTGCTAACCAGAAGGCTGGCGGTTCAAACCCACCAGCCACTCCTTGGAAGGAAGATGGGGCAATCTACTTCTGTAGTGATACTGCCTCGGAAACCCAAGGAGGGGTCGTTATGAGTCGGGTTCGACTCGACGGCACATAACAACAACAATATATATGTATATGTTCTGGTTACCTAGTGCCGCTCTGACAGCAATATAACACAGGTGGGATGGCTTTAACAAACAGGAGATTATTCTCTTACAGTTTGGAGGCTTTAAGTCCGAGTTGAAAGTGCCAGGCTCTAGGGGCTGGGTGAAAGCCCCTCAACCTTAGCCTTCAGCTCCGCCTCTTGCTCCTGGCCCACTGAAGCTGGAGGCTTTTTTTCCACTAGCTGCTGGCTATTGAGGCTGACAAACCCAAGGTTGACGAGTAAAAAGGCACAGTACTAATGTTACCAAACCACACAGCAGGCCATTAATTCAAATCCATTGAAAGTCCCAAGGTCAGCAGAGCATGGCAGGCTGCTGAACAATGACACAGCTATATGCAGGGTTCAAGCATGTCATAAGCTAGAGACCATTCCCAAAGATGTTTCTTATATATGGGAAGCAGACCACATCCCTAAAGCAGCTACTCAGCTGCTTGTGATTAGTCCCACCATGGATAGAGTTGATTGTCTCATCATGGGGATTAACAACCACCAGCTGCCCAGCTACTCAACTAGGCCCAGCCAAGTTGACACTCAAACTTAACTACCACAATATAGTTTGTTATACTACTCCTTTGACTTTTATGTTTGAAATACTTCATAATACAAGGTTGAAAAAGAAATCACCCCAGGTCACCTGGCTAGTAAGCAATGGGGCAGGGACTAGAACCCAGTTCTGTCTAACTCCCAAGCTCAGGCCCTTCATCACTGTGGTAAGCTGCCCCTCCCCCATATGGGCAGCTAACGTTCAGTGGGGGAAGGAATCTGACAAGTGCTACAAGTGGGGCTGTAGTTGTTCATTCATGTATTTATTCATTCCACAAATATCCTTCTAGGTGCCAAGGTGGGCATACAGCAGTGAGTGAAACTAATTACTTCCTGCCCTCATGTCCAAGAAAGTAACTTTTTTTCTTTAAATTGCAGTTCACTACACTTTGTCTCATGACATTGACCACAATTTACCACAATGCAACAGCTCCCCTACCACTTCCTTCTGATAGTTACCTCTTCCCTGTGTCCATCCCTCCATGCACTCCTGCCCCCTGAACTGTCTCCCTGTGCATAAGCAGCCCTTCTTTCTCCCTTGATTGTTCTCTCCAAGGAGTGTATCTACCTCAAGTAAATGTTCAACTCATATGCCTGTGTTCTGCTTGGCTGGAAGGCCAGACCTGAAGGGCAGCTAGCGGCCATAGTCTCAGTGGTTCCACCAGGCCACAAACTTGGTCCCCCCTTTTTTTTTTCTCCAAATGATTTTTAGTTTTGTTCCATATTGTTCTCCCTCTCTATCCAGGATCTCCTACATAGATCCCCTTCCAAGTGGTTGACAGTGGTAGCTGGGCACCATCTAACTCTTCTGGTCTCATAGCTGTATAGGCTGCAGATCAGATGGTGTACCAGTCGCCAGGACTACTTGTTTCCATGAATTTTTGGTTTTCTTCATTCTTCTTCGCTGTGGACGAGGAGAGACCTATTGTTGCATCTAGATGGCAGCTTGCAAGCTTTTAAGTTCCCAGTTGCTACTCACCAAAGTAGGAGGTGGAACAATGTTTTGTGTAGTATGTTATGCCAGTTGAGCTTGATATCCCCTGTGACTATGGTCCCGAGCCCACAGGTTCAACTATTGCTCCCTCTGGGTAGCTGGCTGTGACCAAGAAGTGACTACAACATTGCCCCTTGTCAGCTCTATTATGAACCTGGGAATTTAGATCATACAAATAAACTTATAGGACCATTGTCTGCCAACCCTATACATGGTCTTGGGTATACTCCCCACTTATAAACATACCTACTAGTTCAGCCTGTCCACCCATCTATCCACCCATATACCCATGTTTGCCTTCACTGACAATGCAGTACTATGTGTGCAAAGGGGTTCATCTTTGTTGTCTGTACCTCCCATGTCAAGAAAGTAACTTTTAAGCAGAAACTTTTTAAGGATGAGAAGGCACCAGAGGTTCAAAGAACTGAGGACAGAACTTACCCACCAAAGAAACCGCCCTCAGGAGGGTGGGCAGGAGCTCGGCTTATCTGAGAAGCTCAAGGAGACCAATGTGGGCTGGAGCTCGGGAGCCAGGCAGGGGAGGAGGTGGAAGAGGGGTCAGAGCCTCAAGATCTCGTGGGCCTAGTTACAAGTTTTAGATTCTTTCCTGAAAACACAAAGGAAACCACTGAAAGGTTTCAGCTGGGGAAGACATGACCACTGTGGCTTTTCCCAAAACTCCTCGCTGTTCTCAGGGGAGCTTCCAACAAGCTGAAGGGGAGACAGGATTTATTCCTCAGGGCTGACATTGTCCTGAGTCCCTTTTGAGGACTTAGGTCCTGAGGGCCTCTGGAGAATCAGGGGGTTACTAACTGCTGGCCTCAGTTTCCCCACTCTGGAGTTGAATCAGTCAAACGTAGCAGCCAGGGAGTCCCCAGGTTCTAGAGGCAGCCTAGCCCAGCAGGGAGAAAATGGGCTCTGAGGCCAGAGCCCCTTCTGGCGCAGGGACCCCAGGCAGGTTGCCACTCTGTGCCCCAGTTCCTTCATCTTTAAATAGGGACAATCACAGTACCCACCTGTAGGGGGAGCCATGGTGGCGCAGTGGGTAAGCACTCATCTGCAAACCTAAAGATCAGCGGTTTGAGCCCACCAGCCGTTATGTGGGAAAAAGATATGGCAGTCTACTTCTGTAAGGATTACAGCCTTGGAAACCCTATGGGGCGGTTCTAATCTGTCCTACAGGGTCACCACGCCTCAGCATCAACTCAATGGCAACAGGTTACCCATCAGGTCATTGTGAGAGGCACTGAAGCACTTCGAACAGAACCGGCTCTCGAAGCACTCAGGAAGTATTATCTTCCTCTCTCACCTAGCAACTCCTGCAAGTGCTGTTGTGCTCAGGTTATGAAGGAGATGTTCGGAGAGGAATATGTTAACACACAATAATGCAAATGCAATAGGAAAGTTTATTAGTTAACTTAAGTTAGGGTCTTTACTCTTACCAGGTCAGTGGTTTAAGTAAAAGACCCCGTGCCCCGGTATTCTCACAAATTTATGGAACAATATGGGGAGGGGCAGCACCAGGGCAAGAGGGTACAGATGATTGGTGGTTGCTAAGGGATTTAGGGTAGTGATCTAAGATGTTGGGGGACGTAAAGAAACCCCCTGGCTCCAAAGTTCACTTA